TAGTGATTCGGAATAAGACAAAAACGCGGTTTGGAAGATGAATTCATGATGTACTCGCTCATTATATACATTTTGCAAATTTTGAACACAGAAAAAGTTACATAGTGCTGCTTTAAATAGCTTGTAAAAGCAATTGTTTGTTTTTAGTTTGTTTGAGTTTTCCCTCTTTTCCTCGCTTTCTTTCGCTCTTGTGCATTTTACGTTCACTTTTGAATTAGCGTCAATTCAAGAAACAAATTACAACTTCAAACTTGCCTATATATAAATCATAAAACTTTTATTAACAAAACGAATCAAAATACACCATACTATAGGCTGAATAAGAATAAATAAGAAACGTTGAACGTTTATTAGCAAAATGAATAAGAAAGCTTGGAGGCACGGTATACACCTTGATGTCAAATAAAATAAATAAATTGCACAAAGTTTAAATAAAGTAAAAATCAGCAAACATTGTGGAATCAATTAAATAAGAAACGAATGTTAAAAAAAAAAAAAAAAAAACGATTCCAAAATCGCCTTAGATAAACGGCAAAAGTCGACAGGCTTTTCAAAATCCAAAAGATTGCCAAACAATCAAATGGGAGACTTTTCAGAAGCGCACTCCAACTTCACCACAGCTTCAGTAGAACAACAGAGAACTGCTGTCAGATGAGATGCTGTCAAGTCATATGTCAGTAAAAATGAATTTTCCTGTCCTGTCAGCCGTTCTTACTGCACTCGTAGCATGTGCTCTGCAATTGCACGCACAAATGTGGCGGCACGCACTGTAGCCTGTATCATTCCATATTAAAGCGCGAAAGAAACTTCGAGCATGCAGTGTCGTTATGTCATCGAAAATACGATGCGTGTCAGATCCACATCATGTTCAGCAGCGGCAGCTCTTAAAGTAATAGCAGCCAAAAAAACTAATAACCCAGCAGCTGTGATGTCTGTTCAAGGAACAAAATAAAGTTGTAGTATTGGTATCAGTGATGCTTACCTTCAGTCTTAAAAAAAGATGCCACTTAACAAATATTAAAAATATACTATCTTTGTTTCTGTTAATTTGAAGAGTGAAATTATTGCAATATAAAAATATATTTAAAAACTTTAATGTTAGATGGGATTAATCGCGATTAATTTCAAAGTTTTTTTTTTCCAATTGGCAGCACTAAAAGAAATACAAAACACTTGAAAACCTGCAATTGCAGCTGTGTGCGGAAATATCTTCCTTGTGTGAGTTGTGTGGCGCCACGGCTCCAGTGCGGATGAATCTAATGTTCTGAAGAGTATTTGTGGCAGTCAGTCACCGCACCGGTGCGGATATTTACTGTACTTCGCAATCACAGATTCTAGCCTATGTCTTGGAATATGACCCAAATAAGAATTTTCACCGCTATCTTTGTTTCTGTTAATTTGAAGAGTGAAATTATTGCAATATAAAAATATATTTAAAAACTTTAATGTTAGATGGGATTAATCGCGATTAATTTCAAAGTTTTTTTTTTCCAATTGGCAGCACTAAAAGAAATACAAAACACAAGTCATACATACTACTTTTATGGTGTTACTGTTTTATGGAAGACAAGCCTATACATAATAAAAATGTTGTCCTATTATAACATGAAAAACTAAAGCATAGGGTTTGGAACAAAATGAGGGTAAGTAAATTACACCTAAATTCATTTTTAGGTGAACTATTCCACGAAGCTTATAGCTACAACAAAATTAAACTGCTTAGGAGCTCAAGGTTACAGCGTGACCTCACTGCTAAATGAGGCTCCCTCTCAGACACTCACTGACAGCTTGCCCTGCTCTGCTGCATAGGTGGATTCTTTCTGTTTGGGGCCCGCTGCACCCCTGAACTGCTTGCGAATGGGTTCTTCCTGCTGCTCCTGTAGCTGTGTGAGTGAGAGTACATACTCAGGGCTGGACTCAAATTCTCTCTCTGTCTCCCCTTCACTTCCATATGTCTTCTGAGACGCTTGCTGATCTCGCTGTGCTACCCTCACTGATCTTAGACAAAAGAAACACCTGTCTCAAATTCACATAAAAGACTTCAATAACAGCTGAAGATGACAAAGTTACAGGCTGTTCACACCAAGTCCGATACCAGTATGTAACATACAAGGTTCCATTAAAAAAAAACTATTCCCATCGATGCAAATTAAATGCAAATGTGTCATTCTCTGAAAAAGATACAGGAGTACACCATTTTAAATTTTGGGGTTGGTTGGACTGTTGATGTTTTTAAAAGAATCCTCTAAGACTGCATTTATTTATACTCAAAATATAGTAAAACTATAAAAATGTAAAATATTGAAATTGAAAATAGCTGTTTTCTATTTTCATTCATTCTGAAACATTTCTTTCTATTTAAGAAAGACTTCTTGTGTTTAAAATAATATTAAT